GTTTTGATGTGGCAGATTTCAAGTGGACGTCAGCCATTTTATTTCGAAGGTGTTGATTATGATTTAAGGTTAGCTTTTGATATAATAAATGGAGAAAGAGAAGAAATTATTGATGGAACTCCTACTGAATATAGTAATATATATCAAGGTAAATAAATTAATATTTTCATTTATTTAAAATGAATTCGGAATTCGAACCATTATTTATATTTATTTAATTAGAATGTTGGAAGTATGAACCTGATGAGCGTCCAACTATGCAAAAAGTCGTTTCGAACATTAAAGCAATTATGTCTCTTGAACAAGGTGAACTGATTGTTATTGATGAAGAAGAAAATGATTCATTTATAGAAGATGAATTCAGTGTTAAGTCAAGGAAAGATACTTTTGATTTAAATAAGGATTTAGTAATCGATTTCAAGGGTTATTCAATTAATACCGTTAAATCTGAGAGCAGTTTAAGTTTACATAGTCAAGAATCTTTTCAATTTATATTGAATTCCGAAAATAATTCTTCAAATACAATTTTTAAAGTAGTAAATTTATCGAAAGACTCCTTTGAGTCGATTTTTATAAATGATATAACTATTAATAAGTTAATTAAATATGTTATTAAGAAACATGACGAAGGTATTGCTTTCGATCATATTAAACAACTTATTGAAAATCAAATACTACTATTAAGCCAAACTAAACAAAATCTTTTAAATTGGCTTAAAAAAAATCAAAATGAACAACAATACATTTGGTTTCTTGGATTTCTTTATTATCATAATTTTGGTATAGATGATAATTGTGCCAAAGCGTTTGAATTATTTTTAAATGCAGCAGAAAATAAATTTTCAATTTCACAAGTTTATCTTGCTAAATGTTATTATCATGGATATGGAATTGAATGTAATAAAAATTATCATTTAATTGGTATCAGAAATCTGTGGAAAATGGAAGCATTATTGGGCAATTTTACTTAGCACATTGCTATGAATTTGGTATTGGAACACAACAAAATAAAAAGAAATCAGTATATTGGTATCACAAAGCAGCTAACAATGGAAATATCGTTGCAAAATTTCATCTTGCAAATTGCTTTAGATTAGGAAAGGGAATTAAAAAAAATAAAATTAGAGCGTTTAAATATTATGAAATTTTAGCTAAACAAGAAATTTCTGATGCTCAACATCAACTTGGAAACTGTTTTTATAATGGAATTGGAACAAAATTAGATAAAGTACAAGCTTGTTGCTGGTATGAAAAAGCTGCATATAATGGAAATATTATTGCAAAATCTATTTTTGAACAAAATTATAATAAAAAATTAAATCTTAAAAAAAACAAAGATAAAGATGTAAAGTTTTATAAAACTATATATTTTGAAGGATTAAGGCGAATTGGTATGAATAATTATGATGGAATCGGAATAATGCAAAACTATGAAAAAGCATTTTATTATTTTCAAAAAGCTGCAAAAAATGGAAATAAAATTGCACAATATAATTTAGGTATTTGTTATAAAAATGGCGAAGGTACTAAAAAAAATTGTATAAAAGCTTTTGAATTTTTCAAAAAGTCAGCTGAACAAGAATATATATATGCACAATTTCAGCTTGGATATTGTTATGTCATGGGATATGGAATTGAATTTAATAAAGAAAAAGCATTTGATTTTTATCAAATAGCAGCTAAAATTGGATATGATGCTGCACAAAACAATCTTGGTTGCTTATATGAAAATGGTGAAGGTATAGAAAAAAATTTAGAAAAAGCCTTTTGTTGGCATCAGAAAGCAGCTGAAAATGGACATGAAGTTGCACAAGTTAACCTTGGCTGTTTATATGAAAGAGGTGAGGGTATAAAAAAGGATTTAGAAATGGCTATTTACTGGTATCAAAAAGCAGCTAATAAAGGTGATATGATTGGACAGTATAATTTGGGTGAATGTTATGAATTAGGTAATGGTGTTGAAAAAGATATGCTGAAAGCATTTGATTATTATCAAAAGGCTGCTAATCAAGGAGACTTAAGTGCAAAATTTCAGCTTGGATATTGCTACATAAATGGAATTGGAACAGAAATTAATAAAGAGAAAGGATTTGAGTTATATAACGAGGTAGCCGGAACAAAAGATTTTGATGTAAACAAATTATCTTATGATAGATTAATTAGTGATTTGGAGAAAGTTAACTATTGGTATCATATGGCTGCAAATGATGATAATAAAGTTGCATTATTCAATTTAGGTGTAATTTATGAAACAGGAAAAGGGATTGATCTAAATTTGGATAGAGCATTTGAATTTTTTAAGAAATCAGCTAATCAAGGATATCTGGAGGCTCAATATAAAGTAGGAAATTATTATGAGAATGGAATGTAGTTGAAGTTGATAATAAAAAGGCAATGAACTTATTTAAAACAGCTGCTGAAGGAGGAAATATCAATGCGCAAAAATGTCTTGCAAATTTATATAAAAATTTGAATGATGAATAAGAAAATTATAGAGAATGTTGGATCATTTTTTTAAAATAACAATTTCTTAATTGTAAAATAGACATACAAATTTACTAATTATCAAATCATATCATAATTTCCTTTTTATATATATAAATAATTGTTAACGATTGGAAAGTTTGGAGATATATTGAAAATGCTTGTTTTTGTTTTAAAACATTAAGTTTGATGCGAACTGCGGTCGGCTATAATGCTGACTAAACAACTTTTAAGCTTTCCAAACCTCCGTTTTCTAAATGATAAGTTTCAAATAAAAATTAAATATCTTTGTTTTTAAGAAATTATTTTTTTAAAACATGACATGATACTTTCCCCTAAATATAATCAAATAAATTCCAGTATTACCAGCACAAAAATGATTCGTTTTGTGTTCATCGGTGTTAAGCTTATATAGATATATACTATATATTATAAGAAAATAAGTTGAAGAGATTTCATTTTAGAATAAAAGATTCTATAAAAAATTGCTTTGAAACTTAGGGTTGGATTAGTCCGTACCGGTCCAGTCCAAACTTTTGTTTACGGACCGATTTACGTATTTCACCTGATATACAGTATACATAATTGTAAAAATTTGATCATAAATATAAAAATATAATGATAATTGCATACAAAACGATTACTGCGCCTTCTTAATTTCCATTTCTGACATTTTCGTTACAAACATTGTTACAGTAAAATATTAGGAGGTCCAAGACTAGATTATGGATTGGTCCGGTCCATGAGAGAGATGAAAGCCAGACCTGTTTTCAAAATTTGGTCCTAATAACCGGTCTAAGCCCTATTTGATCCATCCCTAGTTCGAAACTCATTCAACTTTAAAGTTTTATGCAGTAGATTAATACTTATAGGCCAGCTACATAAATATGTACATTCATCATTGACTTACTTATTGCATCACGCTGAAATTGTTAAAATAACAGATAAACACAAATTCTGTCATTAAAAGTTTCTTTAGGTAAAATTTTCCAATAAATTTAATATTAAAAATAAAAAAAGTTATCCTTCATTTTGATAGTTTTCCATACATATACGCAAATGGAGTGTATTTTGCTTTAATATATTTTCTTAAATATTAAATAGCGTATTATCAAATGTGTTTTAAAATATCCACAATTCTGGTTCAAGTTAATCAATAGTAAGAAGTTGTTAAAAAAAAAAAAGTTTCAATAGTTACATTTCCGTACCTTCATCGGGAAAAAATTGAATTTATGTTATATAAAAAGGTCATTTACTTTTAAGATTTGTTACTAATGCAAATGCAAATTTTTACCTTTCATCACGATTTACATATTATGTTAGCAAAGTTGTTTTGTTGGTAAGAAAATAAGAATTTATTATAATTAGGTTCCTTTTGCGAGAGCATTTAAAATGTGCTACCCAAAGAATCAATTATGTATGAGATATACTCTTAAAATAATCATTTCTTTAGGATCGCAGTCCTCGACCATCGTATACGCACAAATTTAGGATTTCAATTTTTTATTGATGGAGTAACATACTTTATATTTCATAAAAATGGATGATGACATTTATTTTGTGTTTTTAATTTACAGTTAATACAGTAGTATCAGCGCTCATTCTTCAATGTATTGTTACACTTGAATGTAAATTCCGGCTGAGATCTCCATAATTCCGCATGAAAATCGATTTCGATATTTACAGTTAGTCTTTTGATGATCATTTGCCAGGTTGTCAAGGAAGTATGACAAAATGTTCAAAACGCCAGGCTGGCCTAATTATTTTTTTTATATATACGAGCTGGAAATCCTTAAACAACTCAATATCCACGCACGCCCTTGTTATATTTCTTTGATTACATTCCCTTCGAAATCCTCCCGATTTCGCCGTTTCAACTTTTTAATTTCGCATATGTAACATCGTTTATTATTTTATTTTTTTTAATTCCTGATTTTATTAGTATTTTATAATTCAATTTTATGTAATTATTTCGTATTTGCACAGTTTTAATTAAATAGAATTTAGTACTTGGCATTTATACAAAGTTAAATTATTGTTCAAGCGAAAGTGTAGAGCGCCGACGTTGAGGCAACACTGATTAATTTGATAATATTAAATAAATATTCTGTCATTGATTGTTACTTCATTTTTACTCAATAAAAACCTTCTGCCAGCTTACATTTAAAATTGTTTATAAATTCATAAGCGAAAGAACTGGATACAACAGTATTAATACAACGTTTTAACAAATTTAAATAGCACACAAAGATATAGCAATATATTTTTGATATATCCCATATCAAATCAATGACGAATTATGACGTGCCAATAACTGGCAATATGCGTCTGTTCTCTTAATCCATGTTGCCGCTTTATACTAGAAATCTTTATTTCTTAATAGAAAATAAAGCAGGTCTCTTAATAACTTTTTTTCTTTTAGTAAAACATAAACATCAAATTTTATATTTCAGTAAAGATTGTTTATAGACGCTTTCATAAAATAACACGCGATTAAAGCTTTGTTTGAAATATAATTTGAAAATTTTCAAAGTTAAGGAGACGAGAAAAGTAAATTTTTACGGGGTATAAATAAAAGTATTTAAATTTGAAGTTCATACTACTTTTTAACAACATTAAATAATACTGTACAAATCTATTGAATTAATTAGTACTCTTTTTATTTCTCATGC